TTGGCTGGCATGCCTGAGAAAGTTGATTATAATGCTTCTGAGCACACTGGTTTAGAAGCCATGTAAAAGCAATAATTCAATTTATTTCCAAGTAAGTGTAATATTATTCCCTTGTTCTGAAATTGCAGTCATTAATCTTGCCCAGGCAATGAATTCATCTGGTGGCTACAGATCAGGCCGTGCTCTCTTGGCCTTGGCCCCCTGTTTACAATATGAGTGACTTGTCTGGGGTCTTGTCAGAATGACACAGGTAATTTTGTGCAGGGCTGTGACCACTCTAAAGACTGGTATGTGAATGCTAAGTATTAAAGTGGATTAGAAGCCAGTGTGGTAATAGAGCATTGTACCAGGATGGAGGAGTCATGGGTTTGAATTAAGGTATGAAGCTTGTCAGGTGACCTTGAACCAGCCACTCGGCCTAATCTACCTCACAAGGTTGTTGTGTGGTTAAAACACAGGAGGCAAGAACTATGGACGCTATCTTGCTTTTGATGAAGGGCAGGATAAAAATGTAATGCGTTAGTAAGCACAGAATACATGGTTTGTGTGTGTATGTGTGTGTTGAGACATGACTCTACCCTTTTAGCTCTCTTTGTTTTTGTTTTTTTAATGTTTTTTTATTTGTTATTGAAGCTTATATACATTATCTTACATTAAATCATTATACAATCATTTTACCCCCCTCCCCCCTCCCTCCTTGTAGTATCTTCATATTTTTAACCATGTGCACAGATTCTTCATTCGTATTTGGATATTTCGATTGGCTTCCCCCCTTTCCACCCGTTCCTTATATTCCACCCATTTATTTGTAATCTTTTGACATTTCTCCTCCCATGTCTCTTCAGTAATTATCTGTGTGAATATATCTGATAGTACGTGTTCAAAGACATAATTATTCCATTTCTCCATTGTCCACTTATGCCTACCCCTCCATCCCAACGCTATTACAGCCATCCCGGCTAAAACCATAATTTGATATAACTCCCGTTTATTTCTTTCCACTTTTTTTGTTTCCCAATATTCCAGAAATAAGCAAATCCCTGTTTTTAGCTCTCTTTGTGAAGAGGGTTAAAGTGGTTGTTAATCTGAACTGAAAAATGCATCTCATCAGGAAGAATTTTGGTCTCGTAGTAGCTGACAGCACATTCCCCCCCCCACACACACACCTTTGTATTTTGAGTCTTCAGGGACAGCATAATGCAGGTATTGTGAAGAAGAAAAATAAATCTTATTTAGGCCTGGTTAGAGAGCAGCATCCTGGATTCCAGCCTGTCTGTTCTGTCATCGGGCCTACTGTTCAAAACCTGAGAAGACAAGACGGCATTATTCCTGCTTTTCTGAAGGCCTTGCGGTTGCTTGGCAACAGGGCTGGCGCTCTTGTCCCTTGGCTGCCTGAAAGCCCCTTCTGTTGGCGCTGCCAAGCTGGCAGATTTCCCTAGAAAACCAGGGCTTGGAAGGGGACACGGGAAGATGCTGGGGCATCGGCATCTAGGGCTGAAGAGGCTAAGTGGAAATTTGTGGAGGGCAAAGCGGCAATTTTAGGATGTTCATCCATGCAGTTAGAAGCAGGCCGGCGCATCTGGTGCCAGTGTCTCCGCGGGGGCGGGGAGCAGGGGGACAAGCCGAGCGCTCGGCACAGACTGATCAGGGGAAAGGGCTGATCTATGGTGAAAGGATAGCTTTTGGGAGGGGAGGGACAGAGGTGGAGGGGTGGGATCAGCAGGGGGCGCTGTTGCACGCAGTGAGAGGCAGGTGTGGTACTGCTGGGGAGGGTGCCAAATTGAGCGCTCCTTCATTTCCCCTATAAATTTTTGAGCGCTCCTTCATTTCCCCTATAAATTTAACAGCCCAAATGAGGGGCACATCTTGGGCCCTATGGGTAGGGTTGCTTTCCATCTTCCAGGTGGGCCCCGGAAATCTCCCGGAATTAAGACTGATCCCCAGACAACAGAGATCAGTTCCCCTTGGCTGATTTGGAGGGTGGACTCTGTGGCATTCAATGCTCCCTCTAAGCTGTGGAGTCCTGTGAGCAAAAATTCTCCTTTGTGAGCTACTGGCATTGAAGTTGTGAGCGAGCCATTCGGCTACTGCATAAATTAGTTTGCTCTGGAGCCATTCTTCCTGAGCTAAGACAAAAACCTGTGAGCCGGAGGCTAAGAAATTGTGAGCTAGCTCACACTAACTCAGCTGAGAGGGAACACTGTTGTACCGTACTGAGGTCCCTCCTCTTGCCAAATCCGTCCATCTCCAGGACTTTCCCAGTCCAGAGCTGGCAACCGTTCCTATGGGGCCAGCAGAAGCCATAGCATAAAATCCCTGCTTGGTGTCCTGGCTGCTAGGAGCAGGCTATTTTTTGTGCTGGAAAGCTGTTATAGCAGCTGGCACCGTCTAAGCATATACATGACAGGAGTTTGTATTTGGGGAAATGGTAGTACTGTGAATGAAACAGGACCCATAAAGAATTGCAGGGGAGAAGAAATCTGACTTCCTCTCCCCCCTCCCCTCCTCCTAGCCCCCTTCCCCAATCAGTGCGGCCCTCCCTGTTGCAACTGAACTTTGTGGAGGAAGTTGGCCATGTTATCAGACAGGATGTCCGCTTTTGCCCATGGCAAGGGTTAGCCAAAGTGCTGCCCACACACAACCATCTATGCGCCAAGCCACATAGCCCTTCCCCTGAAAAAGAAGACAATGCCAGGCTTAAACCCTCCAGTTCCCCTCACCCAAGACCAGCAGTCCAACCCCTGGGTCAGGGAACCCTTCACTACCCGAAGGAGTCTCGGAGCAGCTTACAATCGCCTTCCCTTCCTCTCCGCACAACAGACACCCCTGTGAGGGAGGTGGGGCTGAGACGAGTTCGGAGAGAACTGTGACGGACCCAAGGTCAGCCAGCGGGCTTCATGTGGAGGAGGAGTGGGGAATCAAACCCAGTTCTCCAGATTAGTCCGCCGCTTTTAACCACTACACCAAGCTGGCTCTCCACTACAGCTCTGCCAGCACCACCAGCCATAAGGGCCGGGCAGAGAACAGTGCAAAGACAGGCATGGCTTGGTTGAAAGGCACGGGGATAGCACGGCCAGGATTCCTGGCCGTGGTACCCACATGGAGAGAGGCCAGATGGGCAGAAGTGTTGGAGCTGGCCTTTTGTCCCACAGCCTGCAAAAGGGGGATCAGGATGGCCCAGCTGGTAGTTCACCCCTGATGTCCATCGGATGGGCTGAGACAAGTCTTGATGACGATCTCTCCATGCTGCACTCTTGCACCCCAGGGCTATGGGGAGTGTGAGGCCTAGGAACTTGCACCCCTGGCTAGAGCAGACTCATCTCCCCCTTGTGCCCCTCCCAGCCCACTCCCTGTGCGAGCTGCACAGAGCCGCCAGCAGTGTGGGTGAGTGGGAAGGGGGCTGCAAGACAGGCTGGCCGTGTCATTCTGTGGAAGAGGTGAGCTACAGCGCATGGAAGCTCATTCTGAACTACCTGTCCTTGGTCATCAAGGTGCCTTTGGACTGTATGATAGTTTGCAGCTGGACAAAACAGAGGCTCAGTAGCACCATGAAGACTGACAGCAGTGATCCCAGCATGTTTCCCAGAGTCAGGCTTCGGCCCCTCAGATAGTTCCAGGAAGCCCTAAGGGGAAATCACAGAAGTGGGGGGGAGGCAGAGAGTGGCATGGTGTGTGGGGGTGGGGAGCCAGCCCCACCTGCTCAACAACGAACAGAAAGGGACAGACTTGTAGATCACTTCAGACTTTATTGAACAGCCGCAAGAAAAGAAGAACTTGAGGAGCCCTGCTGGATCAGACCAGTGGCCCATCGAGACCGGAGGGGCGAGGCATCTGGCATGGCCCCCGTGCCTTTGCAAGCGGCTCTGGGAAGCCATAGGGAGAACTCTCGCTCTCGCAGCATGCCTGTGAGCAGGGCGGGATTGGGATGCAGCAGGAGCCGGGCCGGAACCAGTGGGCCGGTAGCCTCATGGCAGAGCGACAGAATCCGCCCTGGCGACTGCAGCCAGCCGTAGCACACCAAAGGAATGCCATCCTCCCAGAATGTTGAGTCAGTGCCTGCAGAGACGCCAAACAGAGACAGATGCAATGCTGATGAACAGAAAAGGGCTCCTGACCACCCCGGCCATGCCAGTGGGGCCCCACTAAGGACTGTGGTACCCTTTCCCCTTGGAGGGGGGGGACCCTCTTTGTCAGGATACCCCTTCCCAAGGCGCATACCGTAGCCATTCAAACAGCACTCACTCATCCTCTCTGTGGGTTGTGTTTCAGTGTCATCCACTCAGTTTGCTTCTCTTGCTGCTGCTGCTGCTGCTGCTGCTGCTGCTGCTGCTGCTGCTGCTTAGGTCTCCAATCCTGCAAGATAATAGGTGCCATTTTCCCTTGGCCAGCAGATCCACAGTGGAGCAGGTGCCAGTCACCCTCCCAGTCCTAGCCGTGCCCACTTTCCCCACCTGGAGGGATGGGCACCCTGGGTGGGGATTGTGCTCAAAGCCCAGTATGTGGCTGCCAGTATCCCTTCCCCTTCCC